GCTCTGCAATTTGGAGCATCTGATTTTCCATTCCCACTGCCAATCATTTGGCCAGGGCATGTGGTCACTTCTGCATTCCCAGAAATGGGAGCACAACTGCATCAGCCTATAGGGCCATCCTAATAAGTCCCTATGGAGATGTGTTCCTGACATGGCCATTTTTAACCTATGATCAACATATAATGAGAGGTTTACTGTATGTTCAAATAAACTGTTGTGTTACTGTATGTTGAAAGGCCCCTTTATCTCTTTATCTCCTCATTCCTTATTCCTGTTCAAATGGTAGATCTGGCTGGGCCTAGCATAACCCAACAACTATGGGGTGGTGCTCAGCCCTTCAGTTTTTGCACTAATTTTCAGAATTACCCCCAGAATCTCAACAAAATTCTCCATGGCTTATACATTTTAAAAAATTCCTCAAACTGGGCATCCCTGGTGGTTCAGGGGTTAAAGATAGCACCATCAAGCTATTGCCAGCCATTATAGCAAGAGTTAGATCCCCAGACCGCCAGGCAGCAACCCACATAGTGCAGCAGACCTCTCCTGTCTCGCCCACTGCTCCCCTCAGCAATGTATTTCAGTCAATCTGCCTGTTCTGCTCCTCACTCTCTCTGGTGAATCCTCTATCACACACACACCCCCGCACCTCTGGCTTACACCCCAGTTCTTCTATGTATAAATAAATAAATCTTAAAAAAAATAATTCCTTGAACTATTTGCATTAATTTCCCAGGACTACCATAACAAATTACCATAATCGTGGAGTCTTAAAACCAATAAAATTTATTTTCCCACAGTTTTGGAGGCCAGAAGACTGAGATCAATATGAGCTAACAGGCTTGGTTCCTTCTTGATGAATCCAAGGGAGAAGCTGTTCCAAGCTCTCTCCTAGCAGTCACTGATGGCCCTTGGCTTGTGGCACCATCACTCCAACCTCTGCCTCTGCACATGGCCTCTCCCTATGTCTCTATGTCCAAATGTCCCTTTTATATAAAGCCATTAGGACAGTGCATTAGGACCCATTCCAATCCAGTTTGACCTCATTGTCACTTGATTACATCTGCAAAGACTGTCTCCAAGCAAAGTCCCATTTATGGGTTCCTAGCAGATATGAATTTGGAGGGGATGCTATTCCACTCAGTACACCATTCAAGTCTCCACTTCTGGGATCACATCCTCTAAGTTTCTCTGCAATCCTGAGCCCTTTCTACTTTTATATTAATAAATGGCAAAATATTCCACACTGCTGCACCCAGCAGCAGTGTTAGCCCAAAGCCCTCCAACATTTTGGACAACCTGTTACAGATTGAACGTTCCAAGCATCCTGATTAATCAGTGGCCAGTGACAGACTAGCTTTCCCACCCAAACAGCAGCCTCCAGACATTTTCAACTTCTGCCTCTAGCATCTCCAGCTTCTTCAACTGCAACTCTACAGAGAGGTGTTTTAACATCTCATTAGCAGCTCTTTGCAGCTCAGTGTGAATCCCCTAATCTCTTTAATTGTCTCAGTACAAATCCCTCCTCCCCAACCTGCCCAGTTCCTAGAGTCTCCCTCCCTGGGAACTGGGAGGCAGGGAAGGGATGGGTAAAGGGCTAGCCTGTGTCTGCCTTGCTGCTTCCTCAGCCCACCAGTCAGGGCTGCTGCTGGCCATGAAAACAGTGTCAAGGGCCTCCCTGGTGGCGCAAGGGGTTGGGCGTTAGCACTGTGAAGCTGTCGGCAGCCACTGCAACAAGAGTTCCATCCCCGAGCAGGGGGCAACCCACATGGCACAGCAGACTCTCCTGACTCGCCCACTGCTCCCCTCAGCATTGTATTTCAGTCAGTCTGCCTGTTCTGCTCCCCACTTTGTCTCTGGTGAATCCTCTCACCCCAACCCTACCCTTCACCTTTGGCCTGTACCCCAGTTCTTGTATGCATAAATAAATAAACCTTAAAAAAAGAAAACCCTGTCATGCCTCAGGCCTGCCATACAGTTTGAACTCCTCCATGGTGGGCAGGAATTTAGTCAGCCCACAGTGACCTGTCCACACTATTTCAACACTGAAGTGAGTCTGCACAATTCCCTTGTGGAGCAATAAATAACCTACCAGAAGGGTGTACCTCCTCCCTTCTTCCCCCCAGCCCCTTGCCTTCCCAAGTGTCAGCCATGTCCACCTCTGCCCATGCCCAAGGCCATTCTGGACAACGTTTTGGACATGTCACAAAGTTAATCATCCTTTCCTGTGGTTTATTTTTCTAACATTTTATTCTAAAGTTTGTCAGTCAAGGAAAACCAAAAGAATTTGATAGTGAACACCCTATTACATTACCCAGCACTTAGGTGCTATCTAGATTTTATCATTACCATGTTTTAGCATTTGAAAAGTTGAGATACACTTCCCATAGCATAAAATTACAGTATATATTTTGAAGTACACACTTCAGTGGTTTTTAGTATACTCAGTATGTTGTACAAAGATCACCACTGTTTAATTCCAGAATATTTTCATCACCACAGTAGAAATCCCCTACTTATTAGTAGTTAGTCCTAATTCTCCTCTCCTCCCTTCCCTGGCAACCACTAATCTACATGCTGTCTCTACAGATTTGTCTATTCTGGACATTTCATACAAATGCAATCATCTATCACTTCATCTTTTGTGTCTGATTTCTTTCACTTAGGATAATGCCATCAAGGTTCGTCCATGTTGTAGCATATAATAGTACTCAATCCTTTGTATGGTAAACAATATTGTATTGTATAAATAGACAATTTATTCATTAGTTAATAAACATTTGGGTTGTTCCACTTTTGGGCTATTATGAATAATGCTGCTATAACCATTTATGTGCACAAATTTTTATATGAATATGTTTTGCATTTTGTTTATATATAAGTAGGAATGGAATTGTTGAGTCATACAGTAACATTAACATTTTACCATACCTACTTTATCATATAGCTACCTATCTGAACTGTTCTTCTAACCACACATTAATCCACCTCACCTTTGTGTGCTCTTGAGAATAAATTGCACGCAACAGTACTCCTCGCCCCTAAACTCATCAGCATGCCTGCTAATTAGAATTCCATATTTACAGGTTTTCTTTTCATGGAGGATTTATGTAATTTGAGTTCCTAAGGTTAACATCGAACGAGTTTTAGCACATGCACTTGTGAAACTCCTATCAGGATATCAAGATATAGAATATTACCACTACCCTCAAAAGTTCCCTCAAGCCTCTTGAGTCATTCTCTCCCTCCACCCCATCCTCTCTAAAGGCAAAATCAATCTTCTGAGCTTTTTTCCCACCATAAATTAATTTTGCCTATTCTGGAACATCATATAAATAGAATCATATGGTATGTGCACTGTTTTGTTTGGTTTCTTTCACTTTACACACTATTTCTGACATTCGTCTGTTGCTGTGTATAGCCATACTTCCACCCCTTTTGCTGACAGCCCTTTTGTCTTCTGTCATTGGCATTTTATCAATGTCTCATATTTATTCATTCATCAGTGATAAAATACTTGACCTGTTTCCAGTTTATGGCTGCTAGGATATAGCCATGAACATGTGCTTACAGGCGTTCATGTGGAACTATGTTTTTACTTTTCTATTTTAAAAAAAGATTTAGGGGCCTCCCCTGGTGGTGCAGCATTTGAGCGCTGGGTTGCGAGGCTACCCGCAGCCTCTGCAGCGCAGGTTCGATCCCCGGCCACCGGCGAGGGTCCCACCAAAAAAAAAAAAAAAAAAAAGATTTATTTATGAATACAAGAACTGGGGTGTAAGCCAGAGGTGGGGTGCGGGGAGGTGAGAGGAGTCACCAGAGACAGAGCGGGATGCAGAACAGGCAGACTGATTGAAATACACTGCTGAGGGGAGCAGAGGGCCAGACTGGAGAGGTCTGCTGCTCCATGTGGGTCACCTCCCTGGCCAGGGATCAAAGTCATGCTGCTGTAGCTGCCCATAGCTTCATAGTGAAGAGACTTAACCCCTTGCGCCACAATGGAGGCCCAGTTTCTGATGTTTGAAAAAAACAAGATTATCACTGTAGCTTCCTCTTTGCTATCCTACTATGTGTATTTATCAATAGATGAAGTCCTGGTTAATTATTAAATCAACCATAACCTCTTGAAGGTCCATATCTACATTTCCATCCAAAGAGCGACCATTTTTCCCTCCTGCTACCGCTTCAAAGAGGATACTCCCCCTACTGGGATGAGGCTTCTTAAAAGACATTTCTAGTTCAAAGACCCCCCAAAACTAGCGACCACTTCCTCCCCAGCAACGCCAGCCCAACATGCCCCCCTTGCTGACCAAGAGAAATTAACGTGCGGCCTTTCTTGCCAATTCCAGCTTCATCCCGCCCACCGCCCGCACGGTCGTCTCCTGTCACTTTCCTCCCCTGACCTCCGCACACACCCCCAGCCTCGCTTCTCTACTCCCGCCTCCTCGCCTCCTCGCCTCCCAAAACCCGGCACCTCAACTCAACAGCGCGAAGCCTAAACCCGGGCGCGGGGCAGCCAGAGGAGGGTGTGTGGGGGCGTCAGTGTACACGCCCGTGAGTGGGAGAAACCAACAGGGCCCCCGCGGGTGTCTCCTTTCCAGAAACGCCCGTCGCGACCGGCAGAGACAGCGACGGTCAGTTCCCCAGCGCACCCCGGCGGCCCGCAGTCAGGGACGTGGGGCTCGGAAGCCCCGAGGCTGCCACCTGGACCCCCGCCCCGCAGGCGCCCCGTTCCCCGGCGCCCCCGCGCCCCCCGGCCCCGCGCGGTGGTAGGGCCCGGCGGCGACGTCACCCATTGTTTACAAATCAAGCCGCGCCGGCAGCTCCCGGCTCCCGGGCGGCAGGCGCGCGGCGCGAGTCCAGCGGGCTCCGGCTTCCGCGTCCGCCCCGGCCCGGCCCGGCCCCCGCCCCGGCCCCGGCGTCGCCTCAGCGCAGCGCCCGCCCCGGCGCGGCCCACCGAGCCCGCGGGCAGCCGAGCCCCAGCGACCCCGCGCAGCCGCGGGCGCCCGGGCGGGGGCCATGCCGTGCCGGCGGGAGGAGGAGGAGGACGCCGGCGAGGATGCGGAGGGGGAGGACGACGAGAGCCTCCTCCTGCTGGAGCGGTCGGTGGCGCTGGGCGGCTCGGCCGAGGTGGACCGGCTGGTGGCCCAGATCGGCGAGACGCTGCAGCTGGACGCGGCGCACGACGGCCCGGCCTCCCCGCGCGCGCCCCCGGGGCCTCCGCTGCGGCCTCCGCGGCCCCCCGCGCTGCCGCTGCTCCTGCCGCCCCGGCCGGCCGAGGCGGGGGGCCCGGCGCCCCCGGGGGCCCTGCGCTGCGCCCTCGGGGACCGCGGCCGCGTGAGGGACCGGGCGGCGCCCTACTTTGTGGCGGAGCTCGCCGCGGGCCCCAGTGCGCCCTCCCCGTTGCCCCCTCAACCCGGCTTTGACGGGCCTGCAGGGGCCGACAAGCGGGGCGCCCCGCAGCCGCTGTCCGGCCCGTGTCGGCGAGGATGGCTGCGGGGCGCCGCCGCCTCCCGCCGCCTGCAGCAGCGCCGCGGGCCTGCACCCGAAGCCGGCACCGGAGAAGACGACCCGCACCGGCTGCTGCAGCAGCTCGTGCTCTCGGGGAACCTCATCAAAGAGGCCGTGCGGAGGCTTCATTCGCGACGGCTGCGGCTGCACGCAAAGCTGCCCCAGCGCTCCCTCCTGGGGCCTCTGTCGGCCGCGGCGCAGGAGCCCCCTTCACCCCCGAGCCCTCGCGCCGCCTGCAGCGAGCCAGGCGCACCCGGGAGGAAGGCGCTGCTGAGAACTGGTGAAGGCGTCCTGGTCCCCGGCAGCTAACGCCCCGGGAATGGCCACAGCGCCAGTCCGACTGGCAAGGAGACCCCGGAGGGCTGCTGTCCTGCTCTGACTGGTGAATTTGCGCTCTGGGAGCAAGAAAATAAGCTAATGAAGACGAGGGATCGAAAAATCGCGAATGTTTTCTGCGAGAAACTGAGGACCACCCCTCCCCCCCCCCCCCCCCGCCATGGACTCGATTGGCCCTGTTTGAGCAGATTACAGGATGCACCCCGAGCTCACAGTCAGCAGGACCAGTGCTGGCGACGCAGTGTGCTGTTCCACGCAGCCTCTCAGGCGACCATGTGGCCAGGTTCACGCTTCTCAGGCTCGCCGAGCGCCCGAAGGACAAGGATGGTCACAGTGACTTGCTCGGCCTGTTCAGGGCTGCTTCCTGATCCCTTTGAGGGTGGGAACATGACTAGATGATCATTTCAGTGGGCACTGCGAACTCTTCAGACTCGAACATTTGCAGTACTTAAGAAAACCCATCTCATGTTTTTTGGGGTGTTGGTTCTTAATATAAAACAAGGGGTACCATGACAAAACCGTTTTGGGAGTTGAATAAGCATAACTTTTCTCTGCCACCCCGCTTTGCAACTGACTGAGGTTCTCAAGTAGCGGGGAAGGCCGTGCGCCCCCGGTGCAGTGCTGGGGAAGGGTAGGGTGAGGCCTGGAGAGAACCTTACATCTGCTCTAAAGTGTATTTTCACCGCCGGCCCGCCCGCCCCTCGTCGGGTTCAAGGTCATTATTTCCTGGACGTACTCGGGTTGCGAGGCTCCAGCACTGCCCTGGAGTCGCGGGATTCTGCCTGTACTCGGAGTAGAGCGCGGTGTTTTGCAAGTGCTGGAGTCTCCTGAGGACACCGGGTGTGGAGACGCGGGGATCTGCTGGGCGCCGGCGCCCTGGGCTTTCACGAAAACGTGGACCTGGGGTCCCTCCTCTCTCCCTCAGCTCTGCTGTCCTGCTCAAGCGCGTTGGTGTTGGCGCTCCTGGGGGCCCAGGCTGGGGAAACACCACGTGACAGCCACTCCAGGGACACACGCACAGCAGCTTATAATGGGCTCTCCGGGGCCATTTGCAATAACAGCTGCAATTCCCTGGATAGTTGATTTCCTCCCTTTGCCCTTCCCCCAGCCGGCCAGCTTGCCTTTGTAAGTGAAGGAAACTGAGTAGAAAATGTGACCCTCCAAATGGAGAAGCTGCAGGCTTTGCCATTGTGAACCGTGGTGAAGTGGTTGTGATATACTGTTTGTTCACTCTTGAGGGATCTTAAGACCGGTTTTTGTTGGTGTTTTAGTTTTATAAGATTCAATGGCTTGTGCATCATCCAGATGTGGCTGTTGACATATCTACACTTCGCACCGGAGTGTCTGGAATTGTGGCCATCCTGATTACAGGATTTTAACTTAACTGGAATATCTGTTTTTAATAAATGTGTTGGGTTTGGGGGTTTGGTTTTATTTTATACTTGCTGCCGGTGGGAAAGATGTACAGAACACATTTCTCTCATCTCCATGAACATGAAAACACTTGAAATCCTTGTCAGCCTGGCTTGCAGATGGTAATTAGAGTGCCTTTGTGTCTGAGCAGCTCACTAGTTAGACAGGGTCTGCTCGCCTGGGTGTGTATTGGTGCTGGCATGAAATTAAATGAAAGTGAGGTCAGGTTTTGGACCAATCCCATTCACCAAAACCTTAGAACCTTTTGGATTACTAGTCCGTGATGGAGCTGTTTTATGAAGCACAGCCTCTGCCTGTATTAGCAAAGGACATAAGATCAGTCACTGCAGACGGGGATTTAACACTGTTTATTCTCCTGCTTTGGTCATTATGTGGACTTGTTTCACATGGTAGCCCTAAGACTGGGGCAGCTGTTGATTAGCTACTGAAGAGGCAAGCCTCCTGTGGGAAGGTTAGCTGGGAGTGGATTAAGGAATTATTCTCTTCCCTAAACTGTGAGGAAGCAGCCCTTCTCTCTCCTTCCAGTTGTGCGTTACTCCAGTCTAGTCCCTCCAGGAAGGAACCAGGCTGGTGACAGGGTATTCCAGGGTTCAAGTCCACTTAGTAAGTGGGGACCTTGGACAAGTTGCTCAACCTCTGTGGGCTTCAGTTTCTCATCTTGTACAACAGATGAGAAATGAGATCAGAAAAAGTGTTTCTGGTGACTGGCATGTACTGAAGATGAACAACATGTAGTCCCTGCCCCTTCCTTCTCAGGACTATCCCCAAGTAGCTGAAAAACTGGGTCCTTGATTTGTCATGAAACTAGGGCATACAGTGATTCCAGAAGTGTTCTGGATTGACTTAGAGTCCTGATTCTCTGACCTACCCTCCGCTTTTTTTAAACATTTATTTATGCATATAAGCGCTGGGGTGTAGGTCAGAGGTGCAGGGAGTTGAGAGGATGCACCAGAGACAGGCTGGGGAGCAGAACAGGCAGATTGACTGAAATACACTGCTGAGGGGAGACAGGTGAGGTCTGCTGCACCCTGTGGGTTAGCTCCCTGGAGGGCTGTGGCTGCAGATTGCTTCATAATGCTGAGACTTAACCCTTTGTGCCACCAGGGAGGCCCCTGACCCCCTTTTTAACCCAATAGCAGTTTGACTGTGTCTCCCCATTTTCTCACAAATGCACATTCGAACCCTAATGGTCTCTTGAGAAAAGTACCTTCGGAACATAACAAACCAGCATTTCCCACAACCTGCCCAGAAAGGGTTGTGGGCAGCCCAGTTTCTTGCTGCTCAGCAAGGGAAGGATGTTATGAAAGCTTTTACACAAATTGAGGAAGGGAACCTCCAACAACACTAAGGGCTACCACATCTGGGTGCAGAGTAGCAGGGAAAAGTAGTCAGGTACTGACTTGCCCTCGTGCTGGAGGAGCTCTGAGACTGCTTGGAGCGGGATTTCTTGGCAGTCAAAGGGTTAGGTGCACTCCACAGCCCAGCTCACTGATTCAATGCTACTGCACCAACCTTGCTCACTTCTTGTAATAAGGATGATTGGTTTAAGAGAACTCAATTATAGAGTCACACAGTGCAACCCCCTTCTTAAAAAAGGAAGATGGGGGCCTCCCCGGTGGCGCAGCGGTTGAGCGCTGGGTTGCGAAGCTGCCTGCAACCTCTACAGTGCTGGTTCGATCCCCAGCTGCTGCCGGCCACCGGAGGAGGGTCCCACATGAGGGTCCCACATGGCACGCAGACCTCTCCTGCCGCCCGCTGCTCCCCTCAGCAGTGTACCTTGGTCCTTCTGCCTGCTCTGCTCTCCGCTCTGGCTCTGGTGAATCTCTCACCCTCCCGCCCTTCTGACTGTACCCTGTGCTTGTATAAATAAATAAATAAATCTTTAAAAAAAAAAAAAAAAAAAGGAAGATGGGAAAACGAATGCACTATAACTCTATCAGTCATCCATCTTTTAAAAAATCCTTCGAAGCCTTACTAGTCACTCCCAGGTCCTTTTTTTGGCATAAGTCAAGGTTTAAACAATTTTCTTTGCAGTTATTTAACCATCTTATATCCAGGAAGGGACCAGGATAGATTGATGCACCAAAGTCATTTGTGAAGTCAAAGACCTAACAGTCTCCAGGTTTCCTGTTCAGGCTTCTTTCCAATAGCTGGATAGCCATCACACGTAGTTGTATACTGTTCACTGCACAACTCCACATATACAATGTGAATGACACCCTGCAGTTGTTTGATGTGGTGGCCCTGCCACTGGGACCCAGAAAACCGCCCTGGCTCCCTGGGCTGAGCTCAGAAAAGGCAGGTAAATGGTTCTCAAAATGTTTTAACAATCTACAAAAGCAGCTGGCCACAGAAAATGGCCTGGGCGAGATAAAAGACCAGAGTCATTTCATTAGAAAGACTGAAAAATAAAATGTAGAAATTGGCAAATAACATGGGGTTTGGAGAAAAGAATGCCACATTTCATAGAGAACCCCAGTCAGCCACCCCAAGATTTCATTCTAAATTAGGTATAAATGCTACGATATTTGGATTCAATTTTTACCCTTTTTTTCCCCCTCTTTCCTTTTCCAGCTCAGAAGCAGAAACATGGAGCGAAGATCAGACAGACTTTCCTATCGAGCAAAGTCTGTGTCCAACCCTGTGATCCCTTCCTTCCAATCAGGAAACAGTTACCCTGGCAACCAAATTACCAACTCACTCAATTAGCTCCCCCCTCTTCCACTAATGCTCAGTAATCACAGAATGTCAGCCCCAGGAGAGCTCAGCCTTCAGCAGTCGAGTGCTACCACCTCATTTAGTGATGGAAGCCCAGGGAGTTTCCACTGCAAGGTGCGCGCCTATTGAACACTGAAAACGGGTTCAGGCAAAGGGGTAAACACTCTCCTGGGCACCATGCGGGGCTGCCTCTTGGTTTTCTTTCCATCCATAACTGAAGGGAGAAAAAGTAACCCTCCCACCCGTAACTGTTTCCCAGAAGGCATAATAGATAAAAGCCTGGGCTCTGCAGGCAGCCCTCCATTGCTAGCCGTGGATTTGGGAGGTCTTTAACCTCAGTAATCTCAACTCATCTGCAAAATGGGCATAAGAATAGAGTTTGCCTTGAAGAATCATGTGAAGATTAAATGAGCAGATAGAAGATACTACACTCCAATAATAAAACATCATTCCTGGAAACTATTGCATTTAAGACCACTGTTCTAAGTCTTTTTGTGGACAATCCTGCCTCTTAATGACTTCTTCGAGCTGTTTTTTTTTTTTTATATTTTCTTTAAAGATTTATTTATTTATGCATACAAGAGCTGGGGTACAGGCCAGAGAAACAGAGGGTGAGAGGATTCACCAGAGACAGAGTGGGGAAAGAACAGTCAGATTGACTGAAGTACACTGCCGAGGGGCGCAGCAGGCAAGTCAGGAAGGGTCTGCCTCACCATGTGGGTTGCTCTCTGGCTGGCCAGGGATCGAACTCATGCTGCAGAGGCTCCAGATTGCTTCATAGTGTGGTGCTTATCCCCTTGAGCCACCAGGGAGGCCCCTAGAACTACTACTCTTAACTCCCCTGTTTCTTTCAGCAAACCCAGCCCGTTCCGATCCAAAGTCTGCTCAGCTGAACCTCTGCATGCCTGCCCTGTCCCCTCCTGTCTATAATTTGTACTGAGAAAATTGTGCAATTTCTTCACAGGAGCTTATCTTCAAGTTCACTTTGTTCTTTCTCTTCGTTTTATTTACTGTTATTACAGGATTATCTCAGGGGCTCATATGGGAATGTATTTTTTTTCCCTAAAGAGATTATTCTGTGATGGCAGAGGATTATTCTGTGATGGCCATATGTATGAAGAGGATGTTTTAGGCAGATTATCAGGCAACTCAGTGTTGGGATTGGGCTGAGGTCGAGGGGGAACTTTATGGTCAGCCAGATCAGTTGAATGGCAGTTACAGCATCCAGTCACTAGGTGATAAGGGGCTGGGTGGGAATAGAAGGAAAGACAAGAAGAGACATTTTTCCAAGAGAAAACCCGCAGGCCTCAACACAGTACCAGGTTTAAAATGCGGACTCTAGAACCAGACTGCCTTGGTGGAAATGCTGGCTTTTTTTAAAGTGATTTCCAATAACCTTGGGTTTTACCTTCCTGACCCCACATTCCCCATCCTCTAAGTGTGATAAAAATAAAGTCCCTGCTTCATCGGGTTGTGATGATTCATTGACCTAATGATGGTAAAAAACGCTTAGGCCACTGCCTGAAACATAACTGCATTTAGTGACACCCCCTGGGTATTGGCATTTAGTAAATATTTGCACAGCAAACAAATGGGTGATTTCAACAGACTTGTGGAAGCTGAGCGGGGTATCTGGGGCACAGATGAAGAGTTGTACTGCCTAGCAATTGGAAGATGGGAATGACCAGGGAAAGATTTACTCAACCAGGTGAGACCCACTGCACATGCAGATAAGCAAAGGGCAAGACTGAAGAAAGATGCTATAGAGGACAAGGCTAAGGAGGGAAAGGCTGGGTGCCCAGTCCTAGCGAGGCTCAGGGGGATCGTTGAGGTAAATTCCCACAAAGTGACCTACCACGGTGAGGCCACGGGTCTGACATTGGCTCTTGAAACCACTTTGTTGTTGTTGTTGTTTTTTAAAATTTATTTTTATTTATTATGCATGCAAGAACTGGGGTATAGGGCCTCCCTGGTGGCGCAGCGGTTGAGCGCTGGTTGCGAAGCTGCCCGTGTCCTCTGCGGCGCCAGTTCGATCCCCAGCTGCTCCCCGGCCACCAGAGGAGGGTCCCACATGGCGCGCAGACCTCTCCTGCCGCCCGCTGCTCCGCTCAGCAGTGTGCTTCGGTCCTTCTGCCTGCTCTGCTCCCTGCTCTGGCTCTGGTGAATTCTCTCACCCTCCCGCACTTCTGACTGTACCCAGTGCTTGTATAAACAAACAAACAAACAAATTAATAAATAAATAAAAACATGCCTCTATAAAAAAAAATTTTTTTTTAAAAATTAAAAAAAAAAAAAAAAGAACTGGGGTATAGGCCAGAGGTGCGGGGGTGGTGGGGGTGGTGTGAGACGATTCACCAGAGACAGTGTGGGGAGCAGCAGGCCAGACAGGAGAGGTCTACAGTGCCCTGTGGGTCACCTCCCTGGCTGGGGATGGAACTCATGCCACAGTGGCTGAGTATACCTTGATAGTGCTGAGACTTAACCCCTTGCGCCACCAGGAAGGCCCTTGAAACCACTTTGTATAACATTTCATGCCTGGATGCCCAGGCAGTTTTGTTGTTTTTTAATATGAATGAGTCCTTCTTCTCTTTATCTTACACTTTTTTTTTAAGATTTATTTATTTTTATATAAGAACTGGGGTACAGGCCAGAGATGCAGGAGGGTGGAAGGATTCACCAGAGACAGAGTGGGGAACAGAACAGGCAGATATACTGAAGTACAATGCTGAGGGGGGCAGGAGGCAAGACAGCAGAGGTCTGCCACATCATATGGGAATCTCCCTGGCCAGCCGGGAATCAAACCCGTGCTGCAGAGGCTGCGGACAGTTTCACAGTGCTGGGCTCAACCCGTTGCGCCACCATGGAGGCCCTCTTACACTTTAGAATGAAAACTAAATCAGATGCCAAGGAGTTTATTAACTGTCCCTCCTATCAATGAACTGACTCATAAGAAGTAAAATTCACAACCCCCAATTGATAGGCTGTTCAGGCAGTTTGTTTGACTTATTGATCTGATCTGGGCTAGTTAAAAATAAAATAATCACAAGCAGGTTATCATCTTGTTACCTTTGCCCTGCCTTTTGCCTATTTCGTTTCTACCGTCTAAATTGGAATCCAGTCTAATATGAGTTAAAAATGATTTCCCTGAAAGCCTTCCCCAGATACTGGGAGTCATAATCACCTTTCTCCAGATGCACCATAAATAGTCCTTTTTTTCCCAACTGATTAAGGAAGGGACAAACTCACAGAGCAGATGTTCAAAACACGCTACTTACTGGTGCTGATCAAGGGAAGTTGAACAACTTCAGGGTTCAAAGAAGACAATGAAAGTCACTGAGCAACATTGGATTCCATATACCCTGGCTGACCATGGAGGAGACACACGGAAATAACTTCGGTTCAGCTGTGTGTTGTGAGCACACAAATGTAGACACACACACATATATTCCACCATGCCTTACAGTTCACCCATCTGCTGCCCTTGGCTTCTCTTGGTTCTACACTTACTTTCTGTCTGCGCTTTTGTTTATTCTTCTTCCTCCCTCGTAAATTTGATGAGCTGGTCTTTACGAATTACTTAGAACAGAGCCTGGAACAGGTAAGTGCTACGTACATTAACTAGCACTACTTCCCAACTGATAGCATCTCCCAGGCTCCACACACCCCTTAGCTGTAACTGCCAAATCTTTATCATCTCCAGCCGGCTATCTCTCCAGCTCCTAGTCATTTGTGAAGCACCAGGCTGCTGTCCCTGTAATTTCTTTTTTTATTTTTTTTAAAGATTTATTTATTTATTTATTTATACAAGCACTGGGTACAGTCAGAAGCGCGGGAGGGTGAGAGAATTCACCAGAGCCAGAGCGGGGAGCAGAGCAGGCAGAAGGACCAAAGTACACTGCTGAGGGGAGCAGCGGGCAGCAGGAGAGGTCCGCGCGCCACGTGGGACCCTCCTCCAGTGGCGGCTGAGCGGCCGGGGATAGAACTGGCACTGCAGAGGCTGCGGGCAGCTTCGCAACCCAGCGCTCAACCGCTGCGCCACCGGGAAGGCCCTGTCCCTGTAATTTCTTACATGAAACTCTTACTACCAGTCCACGTATCCCTCAACGAATGTACACACACATACTCCTCTTTGCTAGTTCCCTCCTTGTTCTGGTCCTTCAGGGCTCAAGATTTACAGAATTTATCAGGGAAACCTAGGCCTTGGCCCCTTCAGAAGGCAGAGTTGTCTTAACTCTGTCCATTCACTCCAAGGGTATAGGGATCTCCCAGCCCAAATCATTCCTCAGTCAAATATTAGCTTTTTCCAAGCAGCAGCAACTTGGAAATGGACATCACTTCCTTGACATGCAGATACTTGCTAGGCCTGAGACCAGCATGAAGCTCTCTATAGCCTTTGCGAACGGCAGGATCAGTAGTAGGAACTGGGGTTCATAAAGGAAGGTGTGGGTGGGTGGGTTAGAACTGGAGGCATCACAATTGACTTAAGAGTCATGAGTTTAAAAACTGTTCGACCACTAAAAATTCCTCTCCCCAAGTAACATGTTGTAGAAGGTGCCTATCAGAGCACAGCCTATAACACGGCTGTTAGTTCTCTTTCCCTTGCTTTTCAGGTCCTGTAGATTTTCTTATCCTGTAGTAACCATTCTAATTTCATTCCTGAGTGCTATTCTGGCCATATTTCAGAGCCATAGGATGTTGGCACCAGATGAAACCTCACCATCTTGGTCCTATGCCTTTATCTTAAAAGGACTCGAGAGTCTAAAAGCAGCAAGCAGCCATATATAATATTGTGGCCTCTCCTGCAAACCTGCCTATGGGTTTTCCAGGATATATGAAAGCTGCCTCACCCTAGAAGCAACCTGCACACATGTGGATGGGAATGCTATTGTATTATTTAGTGGGTCAGAGTTTGTAGGATGCTATTGAGAACTTCAATCATCATAAGAAAATGGGGTTAGGCCTCCCTGGTGGCACAGGGGGTTGAGCGCTGTGCTGTGAAGCTGTCTGAGGCCTTTGTGGTGCGAGTTCGATCCCTGGCCAGCCGGGGAGCAAGCCAAATGGAGCGGCAGACCTCTGCTGTCTCACCCGCTGCTCCCCTCAGCAGTGTACATCTGCCTGTTGCACTCCCCACTCTCTCTGGTGAATCTTCTCACCCCCCACAACTCTGGCCCATACCCCACTTCTTAAAAAAAAAATAAAATAAAATGGTATTAAGTCTCATCACGTTCAGTATGACTGGAGGATCAGGTTGACAGAAGCAGCAGATTCTAGGGCCAGCCTACTTGGTTTCAAATCCCAGCTCCAACATTTAAAAGGTGACTTCAGGCAAATGACTTAATCTCCTGGGCCTTAGTGTCCTGATTTATAAACTAGAGGAAAGAGTGCCTACCTCACGGCACATAAAGGCAGAATATGAAATACGATTTACAGCACGCAGAACAGTCCCTGGCATGCGTATGCGCAGTGAGTGCTATTCCCCAGAAAGATGAGAGCAGAGGCACGGGCCATTTGGAGACATCCTTTTGGAAGTTCAGGAAAAGGTACTTAAAAGGGTACAGCTGCAGAAAAGGTTAGGGACAGCATGTGCTCAAAGTGGAAAAAAGGGATGGCTGGAGTGTTAAGGAGAGTAAGTGGGGCACATTTAGGAGAATATGGGTCCCCCAGAGGAGGAAAAGGCTGTAGTGATTCAAAGAATGAGCAGCTAATCATTTTTGAACACTACATGTCCTAGACACCTCAAGTCCTCATTTAACCCTCCAACTCCCCTATGAAGTACTATTGCTTCAAGGAAAAAAACAGCAGTGACTTGCTCCCTAGGACACAGCTGGTGAGCAGCAGGGCTGAGTCAAACCAAGTCACTGATCACCAGCCTCCTTCTGCAGATCCAGAGTGGAGGAGTAGCAGGCAGGCAAGGAAGAGGTGCCAAGCAGAGGTCCCTGAGAGCTGGTTAGCGCAACTGGAGTGTACCAATAAAGGCTTCCTTGAAAAGGGCCAGGGAGCAATTTGGAAGGGACTTAGCAAGATTTCTATGCTTGGGGCAGACGGAACTCAGGGCAAGAGATCTAGGGGCCGCTTAAATTATTTTAACCCTTGTCTGCTCAAACTAAACCAATTTACAGCTACCAAAAACCAAACCCTAGGCCTCCCTAGTGACACACAGGTTAAAGTCTCAATTCCATCAAGCTATCGCCAGACATTGCAGCATGAGTTTGATCCCAGCCAGGAAGCTAACCCATATATGGCACAGCCTCTCTTGTCTTGCCCACTGCTCCCCTCAGCAGTGTATTTCAGTAGATCCACCTGTTGTGCTCCCCACTCTGTCTCTGGCGAATCCTCTCACCCCTCCTCCCTACCTCTGGCCTACAACCCAGTTCTCGTGTGCATAAATACATTTAAAAAAATCTTTAAAAACAAAAACCAAACCCTGTTTTCTTTTTCCTAGGTCACCGTTCAAGACTGGGTGTCTCAAGGGAGAACACCAGCTTGTGCCCTCCCCATTCTTCACATACAAGAAATTCAGATGAAAACTCACAACCCCTCCATTTTCCTCCAGACAAAGCAAATAGCTTGGCCTCTGACCTCCAACCTAGAACGTGTTTCTGGAATAAGTTCTTATTCCACAAAGAGAGGGGAAGCCCATCAAGTAGCTTATAAAAACTTGTACTTAATTTGCTGAACTTGTGGAGTATCAGTGCAGAAATACTCAAGTACTGGAACTCTATTGGTATTCTGTGCTGAGCTGACCCCAAACATTTGCCCAGACCCCCATCCCCAGCAAGTGCACTCTATTATTACCTGTTTACCTTCCTCCCACCTTCCACCAAAAAGTCAAGCCATGCTCCAAAACAAAAATCAAATTTATTCAGCAGACATTTTAATTAAGAAATCCTATAAATCAGGACCACCACAATTCCAGACACTCCGGTGCGAAGTGTACATCAATAGCTACATCTGGAGGATGTACAAGCCATTGAATTTTTTAAAATTGATTTGGCTACCTTAAAGTTCGGGGGTGGCAGCTTACTTAAAGCGCCATCAAGTTTCACTAGGGTAGAGCCAACAGTTTCTCCTCTCGGAGAGTCACATTTTATAAAAGGTTTCAGTCACTCACAAAGAAGAGCTGGTGGCAGGAGGAAACTGAGGGGTGAGGCCCCAGGGGAGGATCCGGCCCAGGGCTCCACGGAGACCAGAAAAGAGCAGAAAAACAACCAGTCTCATCCACCCTGCTGCAGACACCAGAAAGAGTGGGATAAGGAAGGCCATCCGGGAGGACAGGAAAGAGACTCCAGAGGTTGTTTATGACTGTTTCTGAGAAAGCTCATGGCATGGCCAAGAGTGGCCTCACGGGAGAAGACGGCCTTCTGGAAAGAGGAAAGCATAAAAAACAACTCTTCCCACATGCCTGTGTGTCCTCAGGAGACTCGAAGAGGTAGCAAAGCACAGACAGGGGTCTTCCTGGAGCAAGAGAGAAAGTCAAGGGGGTGAGTGAGCTCTCCCAGGAACTCCACAGCCTTCCAAGTACAGCACACAATGACCTTGAACCACAGGTGACAAGGTCAAGTCATTTAAAAGTACACATTCAACCCCAACTCACCACTTTCAAAAATCCTCTACCTTCCCTTGACCGCCCCCCCACCCTCAAACTGGAGTTCAAATCTCCCACCCCCACCAGTCAGGTGGGAGAAGGGGGTTGATGCCTAGCCACCCACCACCAAGCTTATACATTCTTTTTTTCCCCCTCAGGAAATTTCTTTGCACAGCAATTGTAGCACCATTTTCACTAAGCTCCTCCACCATAAAATAAAGAAAATGTGTCATTAGTTTTCAAGTACTGTTAAAAAGCCCTCGCGATTCCCACCCCTTGGAGCCCTATCCTTAAGCAATCCAAACACACGATGCCCCCAAGGGTTAATCAGGTACAAGTCAATGCAAGTAGCTGCCATAGTTCTCTCAGTTTATCTGAGGTCCTCGGCCCCGATCTGGCCGGGGAATTCTCACGCGGCACGGAAGCGTCCTGGCCCATGCAGTGCATTTTTCCAAGTTCAAGTTTTCTCCGACAGCCTCGCTGGGGCCAGTAACTTCGGCTTGAGGTCTCTGCCCACCCGCTTCCCCGAAGTCTAGGCGATCGCTCGCAGGACGGCGACGGCGGCTTCGGCTCGGGCTTGGTGACGGCCGGACATTGATGCATCAGCGTGGAGGCCTCCTCTCGGGCCCCGGGTCAGAGCAAGGTGCCAGAGGGTTGCAGGGAAACGGTATCCGGTCCGCCGCGGCCGCCCCCGGGCGCAGGGGCGCCGGCGGGGCCCGTGGCCGCGACCGCGGCGACTGCACGCTGGAGCCTCCGCACGGCCTCCTTGATGAGGTTTCCCGAGAGCACGAGCTGCTGCAGGAGCCGGTGAGGGTCGTCGTCGCGGGCACGAGCCCCAGTCGGGGGCCATCGTCGCTGCTGCAGGCGACGGGAGGAGACGGCGCCCCGGAGCCATCCTCGCCGGCACGGCCCCGTCAGAGCGCTGGGGCCCGCGGCGAGCTCCGCCACGAAATAGGGCGCAGCCCGGCCCCGCACGCGGCCGCGGTCCCCGAGGGCGCAGCGCAGGGCCCCCGGGGGCGCCGGGCCCGCCGCCTCGGCCGGCGCGCGCGGCAGGAGCAGCGGCAGCGCGGGGGGCCGGGCCTTGTCCATTCGCACGGCAGCCGGCGGCCGCAGCGGAGGCCCCGGGGGCGCGCGCGGGGAGGCCGGGCCGTCGTGCGCCGCGTCCAGCTGCAGCGTCTCGCCGATCTGGGCCACCAGCCGGTCCACCTCGGCCGAGCCGCCCAGCGCCACCGACCGCTCCAGCAGGAGGAGGCTCTCGTCGTCCTCCCCCTCCGCATCCTCGCCGGCGTCCTCCTCCTCCTCCCGCCGGCACGGCATGGCCCCCGCCCGGGCGCCCGCGGCTGCGCGGGGTCGCTGGGGCTCGGCTGCCCGCGGGCTCGGTGGGCCGCGCCGGGGCCGGGTGCGGGACTGAGGCGACGCCCGGGCGGACGCGGAAGTCCGAAGCCGCCGGGCACTCGCGCCGCGCGCCAGCCGCCGCCAGAGCCGGGAGCTTGCCGGCGCGGGTTGATTTGTAAACAATGGGTGACGTCGCCGCCGGGCCCTACCACCGCGCGGGGCCGGGGGGGCGCGCGAGGAGGCGCCCAGAGCAGGGTTGGTCGTGGACAGCACGGGGCTGCCGCTGGATCCTTCTCGTGTTTTCTACCAGTTTGGCTATGCGCGGGTCCCTGGCGTGAGGAGAGCTTCGTCCTTCCCCGGCCTGGAATGCAGCATAAGGGAATGGAGACCCCCCGAGGCGGCTCGAGTTGGTTTCGCCCACGCTCGAACACACCCATCCCACACACAACCCCTCCTCCGCCGGCGCTTCCGCCCTCCCCACGTGTCAGCAGCGCCGGGGCCCGCCCAGGCCCGGCCCCGCGCACCCGCAGTCCCCGAGACCCGGCGTGTGGGGGAGGGGCGGGTTCCGGCGGCCGGCCGGCTTCGGGGAGGTGGGGGCGGGGAAAGGAGGTGGGCATCGCGAGGCGGGGCGCTTTGCCAGGGAGGGCTGGCTCCAACCCCAGAGGTGGGGTTGGGGTTAGGGTTACTCCGAGCCTGCCCCCTCCGCCGGGTTCTCGAGCCCCCGGCACGTCCCGAGGGAAGGACGTGCCTCTGCGGGGGCTAAAGTTGACTTTGTTCCTTTATTTATTATCTCTTTTTTTTTTTAATTGAGGTAAGGTTGGTTTATAACATTGTATGATTTAGGGGTGCGGGTTCAAGCCTCTTTACATCTATGTTACACCACCACCACACCGAAGCACCAGTAACCCTCCACTGTAGTACTTTGTTCATTTAAAAATAAAAGATTCGAATAGAAACAGAGCTGTGGCAAAGATCGTTCATATAAATGGTCTCAACCAACCCAAGAGTAATAAATTTTTCTGCTTGTTTCAAGTTTCAAAGTAAAAAAAAAAAAAAAATCGTTCATATAATGCTCAGTACCTGGTTCACGTTTAAAACATTTTTCCTTTCCAGACTTCTAGTATGTCATACGAACAACCACACTTACAAGGAGACAGTCGTGCTGCGTGCACTTGGGAAACTTGTAATGATTACGTAAGTTTCCATCAAGTGAGTGTGGCATAAATTATTAAACAATTCTTTTGAGATTTGCTGTTTACCTCATTTTGCCTGTGTAAATGAGTGTATAAACTTACTCCATAGTGATGATTCTTTCCTAAGAACTAGTCCCACGAGTGGCTATTTTAAGCTTTCTGATAAATGTACCACCTTACTTTCTAAGAGTTGGGTAAATTTATTTTCTCATCATTAATGTGCAAACATACATTATTCATTACACCTTCACTAGTATCCCAGCAGCACAATTAAGATTTTTTCTTCCAGGTTTCATAGGTGAAATTGGCATCTCTGTTCAGTTTTCATCTCTGATTTGAATTAGGGCAATTTTCTAAATGTTTGTTAACCACTGTACTTCCTTTTCTGTGAATTGTCTGTTTCCTAATATGTTTTCCCTTGTGAGTGTTTTCTTATGTATTTGCATGATTCTCTACATACCAGAAGTTAACCCTTTTCTTTCATATTGTGCAAATATTTCTTCAGGTTTTTCATTGGACGAGAACAGTCTTTTTTCTCTTTCACTAAAACGTAACAAATTTTAATCTTCCTTTGAGACTTCTAACACAATGCTAAATTTAATCTTCTTACCTCCAGAAAGTTATTAAATAATCAATTTTATTTTTCTTAGATTTTTCTAGCGTCTTGATTTTTTTCACCTCCATCTGGGATTAATTTTGGTCTTTGGTGCAGAGAGCCTATAAGGGATAATTTTTTTTTTCCCTCCAGAGATCAGCTTGCAGGCCAGAACTGTATTGCTTTATTAGGACAGAGGTGTGTGGGCAGTGTAAACATAACTCTGTCCCGGTGAATTCAGGTTGCTGGTTAAACTGATGGTTGTAAGATCTGGGTGGGGCTGGGAATCTTTTGATCATCTTGTTGTGTAGAGTAAAAGAACCCTGAACAGGTTGTACAAAGACCAAGCCAGCTTCCTGCCATCCTGGGTGTATGGCTCCTGGCAAATCAGTTTACAAGTGTTTTCACTTGTAAAATGGAAAAAATAATCCCTGCTTCTGCCTCCCTCTGAGGATTGTTTTGGGGATCAAATGAGATAATGGGAACAGGCTTTGTCAGGCATTACACAAATGTAATGTGGGATTAGGTCCAATGGTTTACTAGCAGAGGCCTGGCTCCATGCCAGCGATTCCCCCAGGGTAACAGCTAATATATTAAAGATAAAGTTTCCCCCTTGTAGTCCCTTCACTAAAACGTACCCTGAAGGCATTACTTCCTTGAACTTGTCTGGTCCCTAGACTTCTGTCGGCTGTCTACCCTGACCTGGGATTGTTTAAGGCCTTGCTGAAGTCAGCCAGAGGCCTGAGCCCCATGGTGTGTCAACACAACCAGTTCTGCTGGTTTTGGTGACTGGTCCTTTCCATAGCAGCCTTCCTTCTCCATCTCCGTGGAGGGCTCTTCACACACTTTACTGATGAGATTGGAAGCCATTCCCTCCAGAGAGAGCGATTCTCATTTTCATTCTGATGATGCTTACTGGAGAATTTCAAGGGGAATGAAAATTAGGGGAGGGCTTATGGATTTCTGTAGAGTTAAATGGTAATTGCCACCCCCCACCCCAAGATGCTGCCTGCCTGTTAGTAGAGAAAAGCAGTTTTATGCTCCATTGACTTTAAACATTGATGGGGCTGGTGTAGCTATTGTCTCTAACCCAGCATCCTTGGAAGTCTTTTTTTTTTTTTTTTTGTCTTCTTGTCAGGGTAATTCCCATAGTATTCCTAGTACTACAGGAAATAGAGCTTTGAGGTTGGTACTCTTGAAAAAAAAAAAAATCACTCCTTTGTAATGTTGCTTTTGTATGGAGATTGCTATGTAAATATGCCGGGACTCAGATATTACACTGTTCATTATAGAAATGAATTCATTATAGGAGACCAACTCCATTTTCTGGGGGCACTTCTCTGGAGAGCTCTGAGAGAAGGAAGTGCTGTGCTGGACCAGTGGGAGGCAGATAAATGTCCTGGATTAGGAATCAAAATACAAGATGCTAGAGAGACTCAGATGCAATTAAAAGTAATGAGAGGGTATCAAAAAGGGAAGCAATGAGAGCTGTGTGCCTGGCAAGCTGGCCGCCTGCCTGGAAAGAGACACTCTCAGGGGGTACTCACATCACTTGTGGAAGGAAACAGAATTCAAGGTTTACTGCATTCCCTTAGATTGCTTTGAAATGCTCTCCAAGGAGTTTGCTTTTGTGTGGGGGGGGGCACTTCCTTTTCAGTTACATACACCCAGAGACTTCAGCTGGGGTAAAGTGGGATGGAAAGCCAATTTGGAAAGCCAATTTGGAATCGCGCTTGGATCTGGTCACTTCATCCTTCTGTGCCTCGGATTCCAAATATGTAAAATGGAGCTAAATCTCTTTTTTACAAAATTGTTATATTTTTGAGCACATGTATGGGGAGGTCTATCACACCACTGGGGGTGATATTGGAATTAAACCCCGGGGACTAGAAATCGTAATGTTCAAGCTCAAAAAAAGGGCAAATTCTATGCTGTGATCAGTCAACGGGTGAATGTATAAACAAATTGTGGTGTACACATACAATGGAATATTACTCAGCCATAAACAGGAATTATATGCTGATCTATGCTACAATGTTATATTCAAAAACATTATGTTAAGTGAAAGAAGCCAGACAAGAAAGACCAAGTATGCTTCTATGTACATGAAATGTCCAGAAGTGGTAAATCCATAGAGACAGAGAGCAGATTGGTGGTTGCTTAGCCTGGGGACAAGGATGGGGCTTGGGGATAACTTAATAGGTACTAGGTTTTCTTTGGGGTATTGAAATGTCTTGGAACTTGATAGAGGTGGTGGTTGCATACCATTGTGGGTGTACTAAGCGTCGCTGATTAGTACACTTTAAAATGGTTAATTGCATGTTATGTGAATTTCATCTCAAGAAAATTCTACTGTGTCTGGTATTTGATCTAGTTCTTTCTTTGTAATTATAACTGCAATTAATTTGCTGATGTGAAGTGTTTATCAGATCTTCACCATACTTCCAATGCAGGTTGCTGATCTTTTTCAGCTTTGAGGTCATATTGAAAATGTCAGATCAGGGCCTCCCCGGTGGCGCAGTGGTTGAGCGCTGGGTTGCGAAGCTGCCCGCAGCCTCTGCGGCCGGCGCCGGTTCGATCCCCGGCTGCTCCCCGGCCACCAGAGGAGGGTCCCACATGGCGCGCAGACCTCTCCTGCTGCCAGCTGCTCCCCTCAGCAGTGTACTTCGGTCCTTCTGCCTGCTCTGCTCCCCGCTCTGGCTCTGGTGAATTTTCTCACCCTCCTGCGCTTCTGGCTGTACCCAGTGCTTGTATAAATAAATAAATAAATAAACAAACAAATAAATAAATCTATCTTTAAAAAAAAAAGTAAAAAAAAGAATTTAAAAAAAAAAAAAGAAAAGAAAATGTCAGATCAGGGGCCTCCCTAGTGGCACAGAGGTTAAAGTGAGCAGTATCAGGCTATCAGCAGCCACTGCAGTATGAGTTCAATCCCTGCCCAAGGAGCTGACCCACATGGTGCAGCAGTCCTCTCCTGTCTCTTGCCCGCTGCTCTTCTCACCAGTGCACTTCAGTATATCTGCCTGTTTTGCTCACCACTCTGTCTCATCCGGGGATGAGTGGATCCACCAGATCCCACCAGATCCCCAGATGCTGCAGAGGCTGTGGATTGCTTCACAGTGCAGTGCTTAACCCCTTGCGCCGCCAGGGAGGCCCCTGATGAAGATCTTTAGTAATCCTTCCCACCCCAAAGTTTTTCTCTGGCCA